TGACATTTTGTGTAGTAGTTACCAAGCCCCTATCTCCTAACCCCATGGCAGGAGGTGGTGGGGATGGCAGCCTACTTCTCTAGTAGCTTGCTTGCACCAAGGTAGGAGAGGGGGTCATTTATTTATTTATTTATTTATTTAGGCAGAGCCGAGGATTGAACTCAGGCCCCTGCGCTTGCCAGGCAAACACTTATTCCACTGAGCCATCCTCCTGGCCCCTAAGGGAATGTGTGTTTAGATTCCCAGAACTAGAGCTGGTAGTGCACTGAGGGGCTGGCAAGGATGTGAAAAGAGAGGTCTCTTACATTGTTGGTGGAGATGTGAAATGGTGCAGTTACTGTAAAATAGGTTTAACAGGTCGTCCCAAAGTTAAGCATAAAATTACCACGTGACCTAGTACATGCAACTCAGATCCTAGGTATATAAGCAAAAGAAATGAAAACATATACATACACATAAACTTTCCATGGATATTCACACTAACATTATTCATAACGGTCAAAAGGAGGAAACAATCCCATCATAAATATAAGATGAATACCCATCAATGGATAAAAGAATAAATAAAACTGATACACACTGATATAATGGAATATTTTTTAGCCCAAAAGAAATCATTGTTGCAGGCTACAGCGTGGATAAACTAAGACAACATGCTGTGTAGAAGACGCCAGATGCCTAAGAGCATATACCTTATGATCCCTTTTATATGATAGGTCCACAACAGGTAAATCCATAGTGATAGAAAGTCTAAGAGGGCCGGGGAGATGGCTCAGTGGAATAAGTGCTTCCCTGGCAAGCACAAGGACCTGAGTTTAATCCCCAGTTCCGCAAAAAAAAAAAAAAAAAAAGGTAGTGACCTCAGTCTCTTGGGCCGGGGAGATGGCTCAGTAGAATAAGTGCTTCCCTGGCAAGCACAAGGGCCTCAGTTCAATCCCTGGTTCCGCAAAAAAAAAAAAAAAGACAAAAAAAAAGAAAGTCTATTACTGGTTATCAGCAGTAAGGACCACAGGGTATTGTGACAGTTAACTTGGTCAACTTGACAGACCTTTTGCACCCTGCCACACTGACTCTGTGGGTGGCCACTATTAACCAATATGCTAAATTATTATATCTGTATATAAATTCAAAAATTCTTGTATTTATCTATCTTATATTAGATCTGTTTCTCTAGTAAGCATTCACTGATTGATACAGGAATGCAAAGTGATTAGTGTGGATACAAAGTGCCTGGGATGATAGAAAAACTAAAAAACTAGGGAGTAGTGGGGCTGAGGAGATGGTTCAGTGGAACAAGCACTTCCCTGGTAAGCACAAGGGCCTGAGTTCAATCCCCGGTTCCGCCAAAAAAAAAAAAACAACCAAAAAAACTAGGGAGTAATAATAGCCATGGAACATTGTGAATGTACTGAAAGCCACTGAACTGTGTACATTATCATGGTTAATTGTACGCTATGTGGACTTCCTCTCAATTCCAAACGAAGGCTGATGAGCTGGGTGTGGTGGGGTATATCTGTTTCACAGGACTCTGGGAGACTGAGGCAGGAGGATCACAAGTTTGAGCCCAGTTTGGGCAAGTTGGTGAATGAATGAGAACCTATCTCAAAACAAAAAATAAAATAGGGCTGGAGATGTAGCTAAGTGCAAAGGCCCTGGCTTCTATTCCCAGTACTGGGGGGAAAAGATTAATTATCACTGTTAAAAGAGGGCACACAATGGTCTCATTTAGAGAAATAAATTTGTTAGTAGTACAATATAGCAAGCTCAGGAAGATTTAAGATACACAACACACACACACACACACACACACACACACACGCACGCACGCACGCACGCACGCACTTTCTCTCCTTCCCCGCTTACCGGAAATGAGAAGCCTGATTCAGGAGACAGCTGTAGTCATCTGGAAGTTCTATCAAACTATTTCTTTTTCTAGGGTACCTAGACATGGGATTTAAAAGGCAAATTTATGAGTAAGTCCTGATCAAACACTGACCAATGTAATAGAAAAGCATCTTAAAAATCACAAAAGGAGGTTGAGGGTCAGGCTCAGTAGTTTAGTCTTTGCTAGCATGTATGAGGTCTTGGGTTTGACCAAAATAAAACAACCCCAAAACAACAAGTCCAAAGTATGTGTGCAGGCGGGTGCAAAGGATCCATAATTATAATGCAAAGAAAATCCCACTGTTCTTTTTTTTTGTGTGTGTGGAACCAGGGATTTTTTTCCCCTTAATTTTATTGAGAAACAAATAGCAATAAGACAGTTTCAAATCAAATTATTAGGTCAGTTTCAATAATTAACACATTGCATACTGTCTTCCTAGCGGTTATTTGTTGTACAAGATACAGACATGCTATCCTACTTACAAACACTATTAGAACAAATCCCTCTATTCATTGAATTAAGAGAATGTAGCTGTATATCTATCCTAAGGAACCAGGGACTGAACGCAGGCCCTCGCGCTTGCCAGGCAAGTGCTTATTCTACTGAGCTATCTCCTGGGCCCAAAAGTCTCACTGTTGAATAGATTAGATTCAAACTTTTTATCCTGGAATTCCAAGTCTTTCATCAGCTGGCTTCCTTCCCAAACTCAGGTCCCACTATTTCTCAAGCCTAAATTCTAGCTAGATTTCTAAGCATGTCTAGGATAGCAATAGTTAAGAATATAGCCTTTGAAATCAGATAGACTTAGTTACAAATCCTAAATTCTCTGACACTTGACAAGTTTTTGAACCTAAACTTATCAATGATACATATTACTTTAATTTATTTATTTATTTATTCATTATTTATGTCTCTTTGAGACAGAGTTTTGCTATGCAGTTTAGGCTGGCCTTGAGTTTACTTTAGAGCCCAGGCTGGTCTCAAACTCACAATGATCTTCCTACTTCAGCCTCCTGAGTGCTGAGATTACAGACGTGTGCCACCATGCCACCAATTAATTTAATAATAAGAAAAAAAAAGAAGAGAAATTGTTATGGTTTGTCTCTAGGTGTCCCCCCAAAAGCCACATGCAGTCATGGGGCAGACTTCTAGAGTTTGTGATTAGCTAATGATCCATTGGGATTAAGGGTGATTCAAGGCTGGGATTATGGGTCTGAGTACTGCTAGGATTATGGGTGAGTGCTACACCCAGCCTGAGGGGATAGCCTGAATGTAACATAAAGAGACACAGAGAGACAGACTTCCTCTCTTTGTTGCTGTGATTGCATTACTCCTCCCTTGGCTCCTCTTGCTCCTTGCAGCCGCCATGAAAGGTTGTTCTCTGCCATGTGTCACTCTGCCTTGGAGCCAGCTGAGTATGGACAGAAACCTCCAGTAACTGTGAGCTAAATAAACCTTTCCTTTCTTCATTTTGGGTGTTGGGTATTTGTCCCAGCAATGAGAGAAGAGTAACTGAGATAGAAATACTGAACTCATCATTTAAATACAAACAATAGGGCCTGGGGAGATAGCTCAGTAGAATAAGCTCTTGCCTGTCAAGCGCAGGGTTCTGAGTTCAATCCCTAGTACTGCAAATATATAAATAAATAAATTAATTAATTTTAAAAATTAAAAAATTTAAAAGATAATAAATAAAAAATAAATACAAACAATACTATCAAGGAAACTTAGAACTGCTGACGAGTAAAGGAGATACTGAACTGAAACATAATATACTTAGTATTTAATGCACAGTGAATTTTTGTTTTGTTATTGATTGTCACCACACTAGTGATGATCAAAGGGCTGCCTGCATGTCCTGGATCACAAGAGTAGCATGGAATTCGTTTACATTCTATAATCCTAGAGCTATAATCTACATTCAGCTAAAAGTGATTTCCTCTAAGCTTAAATCTGTCTCATTAAGAATCTTTTCTTAGCCAGGTGTGGTGGTGCAGGCCTATAATCCCAGTACTTGGGAGGCTGTGACAAGAGGATCACCTTGAGGGCCGGGGAGATGGCTCAGTTGAATAAGCGCTTCCCTGGCAAGCGCAAGGAACTGAGTTCAAGCCCTGGCTCCACAAAAAAAAAAAAAAAAAAGAGGATCACCTCGAGCCTGGGCTACATAGTTAGTTCAAGGAGAGCCTAGCAAGAGCCTATCCTCAACCCCTCCCCCCAATAAATAAATCTCTTCTTTAAATTTCAATACTATTAATGATACATTTCATACATCATTATACTTTAGGTCATACCTTGAGTTTCACGTACACAACTACGTTGTAAATTACTCATGATCGAACAATTTATATCACTTTTTTATTTTTAAAATTTTAAAAATTTATTCATTTAATTGGTTCATGATCTCACTATGCAGCTTGGACTCATAGTGATCCTCCTGTCTCAGTCTTCCCAGTGCTGGGATTACAGGCATGTGCCAGCACACTCAGTTTTGGTGGCTGGTATGTGGCACCAGGGATTGAACCCAGGTCCTTGTGCTTGCTAGGCAGGCGCTTCAACAATAGGGCTAGCTCCCCAGCCCCTATGTTACCTTTTAAAAGTCTTTCAGGGTATTTAGTAACATGCTGGGGACAGATGTCTAACTGGCACAAGGTGACTTGAAATAAAGACAAAATTGTATGAGATTACCAATTAAAAATATGTATTCATATAGTAAACTTTTTCTTTGTACTCAGGTTTTCTTTATAAACTGATGTGAATACTGCAGCCTCTAGCACAAGAGCTGATTTATTATCATTAAAGTAGTGGCATGGGAGAAAGCAGCCATGCACATTTAGAGTGGAACTGAAAAGGGTGCAAGGGTAAGAGATTAGAAAAGGCAAATCTACACTGTCTCATCAGTTTAGTTTTATCTATATAATAATGGTACTAGTGTTGGCATTTAAACTTGGGGACCAATTGCTCTTCCTGTTTGTTAAAGTAATCCAATTCAAATAAAAATGAGACACTAAGGGAGGTCTGCTGGTTAGCTCAATTGTTTAGGCGCCTGCTCATGAAAAGAAAAAAAAAAAAAAAAAGAGACACTGTACATACTACAACCCAGGGTTTACAGGGAATCTGAAGAAGATAAACACTTCTCACCCTGGCTCACCGATTTCGGGGAGTGGCTGGTACATGGGGGCACACGCACAGGAATAAGAGCAGGTAAGCAGAGGCTTTGTGAAGAAGGTGATAACTAACGGTGTTTGAAGAAGTGGTAGATTTGGACAGAGCCACAGTTAGTGGGGATGAGGACTGAGGAAAAGTTTTGGGGCTACTTTCTAGGAATATAGATAGAAAGACAAGGGGGTAAAGGGATAATTCTGTCTTTATTCTCTAATAATTTAAGAGGTGAAAAGTAGATACTCCAAGAAAAATCAATTGTAGGAAGAATCCAACTTATGACAAAAACATGTCAGAAGATGTAGGAAAGAATGAATTGCACTGAGATTGAAGAAAGACTTAGAAAGCACTTCAACCAGCGAACTACTTAAGGAAACCTGTGGGTCGGGAAGGGGAAACCAACCTCACCACGGTGCTTTGCCGCTCCAGGCAGTTGAGTAAGGCAGGATCTGTACACCACCTGCATGTGGACAGGGAAAGCGCGGAATTATCACAGGGTCGACGCATGCTCATCTGTCAGCCACTCTGGCCACTTTTTTTTTTTTTTTTTTGTGGTACCAGGGACTGAACTCAGGACCCTGTGCTCTGGCCACTTTTTTCTGTTCCTTTTCTCCATGTTCTTCTACTCATATTATCTTATATTTTGCCCCTTTCTTCTTCCCCATTTTTTGTGTTTATTATTTTTCCTTCCCTTATTAGCTCCTTTTAAAATCTGTTTTATTTATTTTATTGCTTTCTTCTTTTGGAGTCACGGCCTCCCTGTGTTGTTCAGGCTGGCCTTGAGCCCGCACTCCTCCTTCCTTAGCTTCACAAGTACTGTGATTACAGACGTGTGCCACCATGGCTGGCATTATTAATTCATTTTTTAAAAAGGTTTAAACTAGAAAACTAGAAACCATCCTAAGGGGGAATTTAATACCAGGAAGTGGTAATAAAGGTGACAGGCTTGCTCAGGCAAGGTCATGTGCTCAATCACCAGGATCATAGGATAAGATGAAATCTTCTGAGGATTTATATTGTGGGTGGGAGGAGTACCTCAGTGGTAGAGCACTACTGTAGTCAATCCCTAAAACTGTAAGAAAAAAAAAGAAAAAGAAAGAAAAGGATAGAAGGTTGGGGAGATAGCTTGGTGGTCTAAGCACCTGCCTGGCAAGCACAAGGACCCAGGTTCGATCCCTGGTACTCCATGCTGTGCCGACCCGAAAACCTGGGTGTGATGCACACGCCTGTAATCCCAGCGCTGGACAGGAGGCTGAGACAGGAGGATCACTATGAGCTGGAACTGTGTAGTAAGACCCTGTACCAAATAAATAAATGAAAGATTAAATTAAAAAAAAAATTAAAAAGAAGAAGAAAAAAAAAAAAAAGGCTACAAGGAAAGATAGGCTGAAAAGCCAGCCCTGAGAAGAAAGGCAAGGCACCCTAAATGCCACTCTGTTGGCCCAGGCTGGAGACAGGGGCAGGTTTATTAGTGGATACTAGAATCACAGTTTGGCTTGCTGGTGGTTACTGTAGCCTTAGAAGAGCTGTAGTCATATGCAGAAGACACTGCTGAAGGGAGAGAAAGGCAGCCTAAATTGCACAGCAAGACCCTGTCTCAAAAAAGGCAAAAATGAATGAATGAATGTCTAGGGATATAGCTCAGGGTGATCACCCTCTGTTCAATCCTTAGCACTGCAAGACACACACACACACACACACACACACACACACACACACACATGTTCCCTTGCTGGGTGTGGTAGGACATGCCTATATAGTAAAGAGGGCGAGGCAGGAGGATTGCGAATTAGAGGCCACTCTGGAGAACACAGTGATTTCAAGGCCAACCTAGACTACACAGGCAGGCACTGACTCAAAAAACCGAAGGACTGATTTTGTTCACATGGGAAATAAAAACACACTGTGAAATGAGGAAGCAAAGAAGGAACCTAACAGACATGGTGGCAGGAGGCAGGAGGATGGTGGCAGGAGGCAGGTAAACCTTTACACACAAATTCTGAAGTTGGGTATCATTAAAGGAAAAAAAGGAAGAAAAAGACAAAAACTGTGATGTATATGAGAAATACTAAGGGAAATAAAGGAAGTGATTATAAAAATGATAGTAATAAACATGATCATTATGTCTATCTACAATGTATCAATAAAATCAGATTAAAAAAACTATTACAAAGTGCTGTAGGCAAAAACAAGGCAAGAAGATATGGTTGGAAATAAACAGGAGGTTCAGAAAATAATGTGCTAGAAAAGTTTTCTGAGAGATACTTCTCTCCAGAAAGTGACGTGCTACATCTTTATCCACCAAGAGATTTTCGTTCTCTCTAGGAGAACCTCTTAAGATATGTGCCATTGCATGACAAATACAATTGGATACAGTCCTAATTTTTTTTTTCATGCATTTAGTACAGGGTCTAGCTAATGGTCTCACTATATAGATCAGACTTGTAATGATTCTGTTTTCAGCCTCCCAAGTGCTGGGATTACAGGTGCACACTAACATGCCCAGTCTCAGTCGCCCTCTCGGCACACTCTGGGGGCGAGGCTGGCATGGCCAGCCAGGATCGAACCCTGGTCCCTGCCCTCTGCCTAAGCAAGTGCTTTAGTCCACCGAGCTATCTGGCCGGCCTGGTCTTAAGTTTTTAAAAAACTTCTTAATTCTGATTTATGTCTACTAGCAACCCCACGCTTACACCGGCTTATTTATTTTTATTTTGAGACAACTGGGCTTGAATTTTCAAGCTTGCTTCAGTTTTCCAGAGTGTTACAATTCTAGGCATACGCCACCATACCCAGCTCCACACTATTTTAAAACTGGAATGAGACAACAGCTGTGGGGAAAATAAATAAAATGAATGGACTTCAGTAAAGGAAGAGCAAGCAGAAATTCCATCTGCCTATAGCTGTTGGTTTTCTCTCTTTTCTTTAAAGGTAGGAATTAGGACTCTCCCATACTTTTGCCAGACCTTTAATCAATGACACCAAATCGGAAAGGTTAGCAAATAATTATAATCAAAAATTTCAAACTAGATAGTAACCCAACAAGGAAATTTTTTTTCATAGTACCTCTGGAGGAAGGGCCTTACGGTATCCCAGTATTCTTGGAAAAGCAGGAACAAATTTGTGGGTAAAGATAAATAGCTACACAGTGCACTGTACTCTCCCTCTGCAGAATCTGCAAGAGAACAAAAATATACTTAATAAACACATTTTACCAGGCTCATTTTTACATAGCATTTTCTCATTGTCTTATGCTCATTTCTATATTCTACACAGAGAGTATACTTCGTACATTATAAAAACTGTGGGTGGCAAACAAGCCATGGTGATCTTTTGATAACACCAACCTGATTTACTCTACTCATTAGAGGCTCCCAAGGCTATCCACCAGCACTCACTATAAAATACCAAGTCCCCACTGTGGCAGAAAGGCCCTAGCAGCACCTGCTACCCTCCCTTTGGCTATAGTTATGTCTGTGCTGTTCTTGGGAAATGCCAAGCAGACGCTTTATATTTATTTTTCCTTCTGCTCAGCAGTACTCACCTATTTGAACAGCTCAACCCCACCTATGCAGCAGTCTGTGCAGTGTCTCCTTAGTGACCTTCCATGAACACCTATCAGAGTTCCCACTCTGGTCTCAGCACTCGATTCCCATGACCTGCTTAGTTTTCTTTGCAGTATTATTATTTTTTTTAATGTAATTGGTATAGGGTCTCTACGCAGCTCAGACTTTAGCGATCCTCCTGTTTTCAGCCTCCCCAGCACTGGGATTACAGGCGTGTGCTACCACACCTGGTCTTGGTGGCTGGCTCAGTGCATCCTGGGGGCAGGGCCAGAGCAGCATACAGTATCAGGGATTGATCCCTGGTCCCCGAGCTTGCCTAAGCAGGTGCTGCTTCGTCCGCTGAGGTATCTTGGTGGCCCTGCATTACCCTTTGACATTATACAAATGTATTTATTTAGATTTGCTTTCTTCCCAATGAAAAAGGACTTATTTTCTGTGGGACCTATTACATAAACGAGATTGTTTTGGTGTATGCTACCAACATATCTGCACTGGTGTACACTTGGAAAGTAGCTCCCTATTTTACATAGACAGAGGAGAGCACCCAATCAGATATACTTTCTGGCAAAGGTACCCTGCTCAGTTTATTTTCAAAGGACAAAAGGAAGAATCACTAAACAAATCTAGTAGCTTCCAAAATTATACCAGCATTCTAGTTTTTAACCCACACATAGCCATAAGAAAAACCTTAGCTTTGGCCTAGATTTAGAGGCAAGAAGATGTAAGAATACAGTGATTTTTCTCCTACCTATCAAAAAGTTCTCTTCTCAAAAGCCTAATGTCTCTAATTTCCTACATATCCTACCAGTTAGTTTCTGCATGTAGATCTTTTATAAACTTAAGCACATAAACTATCCATTGACAAGAGTCAAGAGAAAGACTTATACACTACGAGGTTAATCTGGTTTTTGGCTTTCTTTTTAACCTACGTCATGGAAGAGACACACAATTTAGAGTGAACACAGAAGAAATGGGTCGAGAGCAGAGAATTAATTGGTCTGCTCTAACTATGTAATCTTTTTTTCTTTGTGAGACAGGGGCTTGCTATGAGGTTCAGGCTGGCCTTGAACTCACTGTGATCCTCTTGCTGGGATTACAGATGAGCACCACTACCATGCCTGGCAAAGATAAGAATAAGATAAAAGGTCTTGGTCTTATACTCTGTGACTTCATTTTCCTACTTACTGGTAAACAGCTCTTCAGGTGGTGTCACCCCGAGTACATAATGGAAGAAGAGGGCAGCACAGCGAAGGTAAGGGGTGATGCCGTTCTTCAAGGCGGCCCACAAGTACCAGCCAGGAGCACTGTGCCCAGCGCAGCTAGGAGATAGAGCACTTGCATCAGAACAACACGCTAGACTCTAAAGGAGACACCACCCACCAGCATCACCTGCACTGTCACCGTCACCATCACCATCCAGCCCCTCCAAACTACAGTTAAACAACTTAGTACCCACTTAGGTTTTAAACATTTGAAAATAGATATTTAAATAGCTAATAGCCTCAATGTTTAAATTTTATAGTAATTTTCTAAAGAAAACCACAAAATCTTTTTTTAAAAAATATGTATCTCGGGCTGGTGAGATGGCTCAGTGGTCTAAAGCACCTACTTAGAACAAGCTTAGCAAAGCACAGGGACCGCGGTTCAATCCCCCAGCACCACATGCCAGCCAGCCCCGCCCCCTGGTGGGCTGAGCTGGCCACACACACACACACACACACACACAAATAAAATTTAAGAAAAAAAAATGTATCTCTTTTATTTATTTATTTTGAGACAGGGTCTAACTATGCAGTTTGTGCTGCCCCTGGGCTCACTCTTCTGGCCTTCAGACTGGTCTTGAACTGTTAGTGATCCTCCTGTCTCCACAAAATCTTTTATTAATCTAGATTTTTAAGCATAGAAATACTCTCTTCTTTTTCCTAGATACAAACCAATAACAAAGCTAAACAAAAACCTGAAAAAAAAAAAAGCAGTTCTTTGAAGGAACTATCTTTGCTAAAAAGAAAATAATGGCTGAGGCAGAATGATTGTGTGGAGCTCCAGGCTAGCCTTGGCTACACAGTGATACCAAGGCCAGCCTGAACTGTGTAGCAAGACCCTGTCTCAAAAAACCAAAAACAAAACTAAAACCCCAAACCAAACAAACAGAAAAATCTTTCTGGTTTCTGTATTAACAGATTTTAGTTTAGTGCACAGTGAAACACATTTTATTTTATTTTAATCTTTAGCATGTGGAAAAACCAGTGTTTTCTGTACCATTTATTAAGCAGGCTATTATTCTTCCAGTGAACATGTTTGGCCCATGTGTCAAATATAAAGTGGCTCAGTGTATTTGGAGTTGTTTCTGCATATTTAATCTGTTCAACTGATCCTCAGTTGTTTTGGTTTTTTTCCCCCCTAGTACCATACTGATTTTATCACAGTAGCTTTGTAGTATAACTTCAAATCAAGGATTTTGATGCCCCCTGCCTTACCCTTGCTGCCTAGAATTGTTTTCACTATTGGTCTCTTCTGGTTCCAAATGAATTTTATGAATGTGTTCTCTAGTTCTGTGAGGTATGCTAGTGGTATTCTGATTGAGATTGAATTAAATCTGTATAACAATTTTGGGACTATCTTGGTTCTTTTTATCCATAAGTAAGGGATCTCTTTCTCTCCTTCCTTTCTTTCTTTCTTTCTTTCTTTCTTTCTTTCTTTCTTTCTTTCTTTCTTTCTTTCTTTCTTTCGTTTGTTCGTTCGTTCGTTTGTTCGTTCGTTCGTTCGTTCGTTCGTTCGTTCTTGAGACAAAGTCTTATTATGCACTTCAGGCTGGCTTCAAACTTGCAGCAGTTCTCCTGCCCTAGCTTCCCAAGTGCTGGGACTGCAGGCATATGCCACCATGCTTAGTCTATTCCATTTTCCAATACCCTCTTTGATCTCCTTTTTAAGACTACTAATTATTCCTGCTTAGGCAGAGTGCAGGGTTGGGGTTCAATCCCCAGTGTGCCACGCCGGCCCTACCCTCGGGGTGCAATGAGACAGTGACTGAGACTGGGCAAGGTGGCACACGCCTGTAATCCCAGTGTTTAGGAGGCTGAAAACAGGAGAATCACTATGGGTCTGATCTACATAGTGGGACCCCATAGACCCTCTCCTAAATACATAAAAAAAAGACAGACTACTAATTTTTTTTTTTCCTCCATTATGGGGGATTGAACTCAGAACCCTGTGCTTGCCAGGCAGGCACTTATTCTACTGAACTATCTCCCCGGCCCAAGACTACTAAGTTTTAATGTATAGATCTTTTCCTTCCTTCATTAGATTGATTCCTAAGTATTTTATTTTTTGGATACTATTATAAAAGGTGCAGTTTATTTCTTTCTGAGAGTTTGTTGTTTCTGTATAGGAGTGCTACTGATATGTGAGTATTGATTTTGTATCCAGCTACACACACTACTGAATTTGGTTAAATTTAGTTAAATCTACAAGGGTTTTTTTTGTGTGTGGAATTTTTGGGGTTTTCTACATAGAATATAATTTCATCTACAGATGATGATGATTTAACTTCTTCATTTTCCATCCTTATTCCCCCGTCCTTTTTTTTGGTACCAGGAATTGGACTCAGGACTATTGTGCTTGGCAGGTAGGCACTCTGAGTGCTAAGTTATATCCTTGGCCTCCTTATTTCTTTTTATTTTCTTTTCTTGTCTAATTGCTCTGGCTAATGTTTCCAGAACCACATTAAATAGGATGGGAGTGGTGATAGTGGACTTTCTTACTTGTCTTGTTCCTGATTTTAGAGTAAAAGCTTTCAGGTTTTGACCCTTCACGGTGATTGTGATGTTGGCTGGCGGTTTGCCATAGATGGCTTTAGTGAGACTGAGGTAAAGACCATCTATTCCAACTTCCTATTCTAATTTTGAATATATGTTTGACTTGTCAAATGGCTTTTCTTCATCTACTGAGATGAGCATGATTTTTGTTGACTCTGTTGATGTGGTGTATTATATTTATTGATCTAAATATTAAAACATAAACACTAAATGTGCTGAAGAGAGAATAAGTAGAACTCTTGTGCACATAGGTGTAGGCAAAGATTTCATGAACAAAACTGCTCAGGGAAAAATACAAAAAAATCAACTGGGATCTCATCCTATTAAAAAGCTTTTGCACAATAAAAGAAATCAACAGAGTACAAAGACAACCCACAGAGTAGGAAAAAATTTTAGCCAGTTGTCTCTCAGGCATGCATTTATACCTAGAACATACATAGAATTGAAAAACAAACCCCTCAAATTTAAAGACCCAATCCAAAAATGAGCAGCTGAGATGAATACACACTTCTCATATGAAGAAATACAAATGGCATATATACATGAAAAAATGTTTAACATCAGTGGTCATTTGATTTTTTTTTTTTTCTCCGAATGCCTTGAGGGCAGGTTTGGCTGGCTTGAGTTGTGGGGATCGAACCACAGCAATCTGAGCCTGACTGCTTTGGTTTTTTTTTGTTTTTTTTTTCCAAAGTTTTATTGATAAACAGCAATGAGACAGTTTCAAATCAAATCGGAAGTACAGTTTCAACAAATAATACACTGCATATATTCTTCTTAGTGGTTAATTGCTGTATAAGATGCGGACTTGTGATCCTATTTACAAACACCATTAGAACAAATCATTCTATTCATTAAGGGAATGCAACTATATATCTATCCCAACCTCTTTGAATACACAGATACAAAATGGACATTCATCGGTATACCCCATTTTTTCTAAGTTCCGTTATTGAATATTATAGGTGTGTAAACTCAGCAAAATATTCTAAAAGAGTCCAGTAGCCCATAATAGCATTGGGTCTTCTGTTTAACTGGCAATGTCAGAAATTATTGACCTGAGTCCCCCACAGCTCAACTTAACAGCATGGCTTTATTTCTTATATTTCGACTTCATACTTTTCTACTGGATGGTTAAGACCAAGGTAAAGCAAGACCTGTGCAACAAGAGTTGTAGCTTTTGGGTCTGAGAAGGTCAGTGAAATGCCCTCAGGATTTGTCCTGAGATCCTATACCTCAGATTGTAGAACCTTTATCAGTGCAGCCATGTGGATGAGTCACGGCCATTGCTTGGCCAATGTGCTCTCTGTGAAAGCCTGAGAGAGTGTCTTCTCCCCATGTGACTCTCCTTAGGCCCACTCTATGTCATCGATCACTTTCCTCTTTGGCCCCATAATCTTCTTGATCAGAAAATTTGGGACACTACTGAGGTATATGACGTTACAGTACAAGTTCTCATATGTCCTGAGTCTTAATTGACCTTAGAATGCTAGGGCCAAAATGTTGGCTTTCCTTGTATCCCTCCTTTTTCTCTAATTTTGGTCTGCAAACCTGACTGCTTTGTTGAAGCAGCCACTTAAAGAACTGAGCTAAGGGGCAGGCCCCTAGTGGTCATTTGAGACTTGCAAATTAAAACAATGCATAGATTCCATGTCACTCCACTAAGAATGGCTATCAAGAAATCAACCAATAAGTAAGTGCTATCAGGGCAGTAGAGAAAAAGAAATTCTTCTCCCCTGTTAGTGGGACTGTAGATTAATGCAACCCCTGTGGAAGTCAGTGTGGAGATTACTCAAAAAACTAGGATTAGAGGTTTCATTCAACCCAGTTATTCAGCTTCTAGGTTTTATCCCAGAAGAAATAAAAGCATCATACCACAGTGATATACGTGCACCTGTTTATAGCAGCACAATTCGTAAAAGCTAGATCTTAGAAACAACCCAGATGCCCATCATTTGAGGCATAGATGAAAAACATGTGGGTTTTTTTCTTTCTTTTTTTATTTTAGGAAAGGGTCTACAGGGTGTTCAGGGTCTCACTACTAGATTAGACTCAAAGTGATCTGCCTGTTTACAGCCTCCCAAGAGCTGGGATTACAGGCACATGCCACTATGCCCAGTCTCAATTGCCATCTCAGTGCACCCTGGGGTGAGGCCAGCACAGCAGGCCTGGGGATAGAACCCCTGGCCCCTCCGGCTGCTTGCACGCACTTTAATCCACTGAGCTATTCGGCCAGCCCAACATGTGTTTTTTATATGATAGGATACTACTCAGCCATAAATAAGGATGAACTTCAGACATCTGTAGGAAAATGGATGCACCTTGAGACCATACTCCTAAGTGAAATAAATCAGACACAAATGTGCAAATATCATATTCTCTCTCTGGTGTAAGAATCTGAAAGAGTAAGTAAGACTCTGAAACAGTAAATAAGGACCAAAATGTATAACAGGTATTGTAAAATAGGAAGAAACTATTCAAAAGAAGAATAAGGGGAGGGGAAGGAGAAAAGGAAGGAAGGGAAAAGGAAAAAAAAAGATTTTAAGAAAAGGATAAAATGGAAACAAACTTTGTAAATACAGAAGGAGAGGTGATGCAGGGAGGGAATTGGGAAAAAGAACTGAAATATATCATGTCCAGGTACAAATTCACTATGATGAATATGAGCATTATGTATATTTAAATTATACCAAGGAGAACAAGGGAGAGGGGAGAGGGAAAGGAAAGAAAAAAAAAAAAAAAAAGGAAAACAAGGAAGCAAAGCTTTTGTATATGGGGAGGGAAAGGGGGCTGAAGGAAGGGAAGGGAAACGGGAAAGAAAAAACCGAGTCACATCATGTACAGGTACAAATTCTCTATGATAAATATGATTACTATACATATCTAAAATATCCCAAAAGGGGCTGGGGAGATGGCTCAGTGGAATAAGTGCTTCCCTGGCAAGCGCAAGGGCCTGAGCTCAATCCCCTGTTCCACAAAAAAAAAAAAAAAAGGTCCCAAAAATCTGATTTAAAAATATATTGTACTAATAAACTTAATCAAATAAAAAATGATCTCATATTCATGCAAGCACAATCTTTAATGATGTCTTCTGGGGCCGGGGAGATGGCTCAGTAGAATAAGCACTTGCCTGGCAAGCACAAGGGCCTGAGTTCAAACCCCAGTTCTGGGAAAAAAAAAAAAAAAAGTTTCTATGAAAGTCTAAGTTAATGAGGACATATATGTAATAAAAAAATCAAAAGTTATTATTAGTAAATTAAAGGTTCAGCACCTTTCTCCCCACAAAAAATAAAATGAAACAAAAACAAATAACCCCCTAAAACCTGAGAGTTCAGTAGGGCAGCAAAACCACTTGGTATAATGCTGTAATGGTACCAGAGACAGCCCTGATATAAACCGTAGATTCTAGTTCATAATAAGGCATCAATATTAGTTCATCAGTTATAATAAAGGCACACTATTTATGCAAGGCGTGGGGGAAAGGGGTAAAAGGAAACACTACTGCCTCTTTGGCTTTTCTTTTTTTTGCAGTAGCAGGGATTGAACTCAGGACCTTGTGCACACCAGGCAGGTGCTTATGCCACTGAGCTGCCTCCTGGCCCTCCTTGGCTTTTCTAACTTAAAAAATAAAAAAAAAAAACTGGTAAAGAAGAGACTTGAAGCAATTGCTTAGTTGAGCACTCATGTTGTAATTTTGGTTTTAACCTGTACACAGAGGTTAAAGATATATAAATTTATAATTATACAATAGATACACATATGTATGTCACACAGCATTTATGTGATTATATATATGAATATTAAAATAAAAATGCCCAAACACTTCCTGTATTATTCATTACAGTATTAAAATTTTTCTAAACTAGTTCAATGTGTCAATTAGATGGATTGCCTTAAAAAGTCAACCTATTTTCTATTTCTATCACTTATTTTGTAACAGAAAATAGCGCCCCCTCCTCCCCTCAGCCAATATACCTCAGTTTGTTAGTCGCCCAGATAATAGTTTCTGTTCCAATTCTGGCTGCCCCTGTCTCTTAGAAGGGGCTGCTCACTGTGATGCATATCGTAAGAGCCAATCTCCAACTGACAAGCCATCCTGCCACTGTAGCTCCAGCTTGCTTATTCCATCTAAGCCCTGGACCCCCAGAGGTGGGGGCCTGATATTCTGGGAATGGACCCAGTCAGTGCACACTGATGTAAATAAATCTGCCTCAAAATGCTGGGTGTCGTTCGGTGTTTCTGCTTGCCATTGCAATTTAAATTCTACATACTGACAATTGTTAAAATCATGTCATCTTTTGCCTATGTTCCCAGGAAAGTTAACAAGAACTAAACATGTGTCAGACTTGTGTCAGTCTCTGAAATGAAAAAGTGGGTGGATATTATTCTAAAGTACGATGTTTTATTTAAATGTAAAACCAAAGTAAGTTTTTTCCACTATAAGCCTATCCTCCAGCAAAAAGTCAGTACAATGAAAGACCTTACCTCCTAACTTTTGTATGTATGTGTGTATGTATGTATGAATTTATGTATTTAGTACAGGGTCTACAAAGTCTCACTGCATAGATCGGACACGTAGTGATCCTCCTATTTTCAGCCTCCCAAGCTCCAGTCTCAGTCCCTGTCTCAATGTGCCCTGGGGGCAGGGAATTTACTTAACTTTTAAAAAGTGTTATTAAAATGATACAAAAGCTTCCAAGCAACTGACCAAAGACGTAAAATTATTAAAATGAAACTGCAGTATATGGGACTAATGGCCTGCTACCCACCTGCTGATGTACTGGGAAATTTCAACAAAGAATGAAGATGCACAACGAGCCTCTTCACTATCTTCTTCAACCTGAGAAAGGGGGAGTCCTGAAAAAGAAATTTTGCAAGATGAATTTATGAATTTGTTATGCAGTCTACAAATACACTCCAATTTCATAGTTCCAAAACTTTCCTGCTGTCAACTTTACCCCTTACCTCTGAGCAAGTCATTTAAGATCTATGAATTTCAGTTTTCTTGTATTAAGATAGAGATTATAAAATACCAACCTGCTATCTGCTGTAAGAGGTGGTTATAACATATTTGAATAGGACTCTTGTTTTAAAATGCTTTTGGGGCTGGGGAGATGGCTCAGTGGAATAAGTGCTTCCCTGGCAAGCGCAAGGGCCTGAGTTCAATCCCTGGTTCCGCCAAAATAAATAAATAAACAAATAAATAAATAAATAAATTCTTTCGCTGGGTTCACAAATTATTTATATATTCATCTAGTGCAAGCTACCCTGGATGTTTCCAAGTTTTGTCAATTATGAATAAAGCTGCTATAAACATTTTGGTGTGGACCTAAGCTTTTTGATTTTTATTTTTCTTGTGCAGGGTCTCACTACGAAGCTCAACTCATAGTAATCCTCCTGTTTTCAGCCTCCCTAGTGCTGGGCTTTTTTTTTTTTTTTAATGTATTTGGTTGTTACAAGGTCTTACTACCCAGCTTGGACTCATAGTGACCCTCCTGTTTTTAGCCTCCAGAGCTGGGATTATAGGCCTACACTACTACACCTGGATTCTGGCTGGCTCAGCCCACCTTGGTGCTGGAGACTGAACTGCAGTCCCTGTGTTTGCCTAAGCAGGTGCTTTAGTCTGCTGAGCTATATTACCGGCCCTTGGACATAAGTTTTAATTCATTTGTGTAAATACCAAAGAAAATGTTTGCTGGATCACATGATAAGAGTATATTTAGTTTTGGAAGAAATTGCCAAACTTCTTTCAAAGTGACTGCAACATTTTGTATTATTATTTTTGGTTGAGACAGGATTTTGTTATGTAATTCAGGCTATTTTGCTCAGAGTAGCCTCAAATTCCAACGATCCCCCTGCCTCAGCCTCCCAAGAGCTGAAATTATAGATATGTACCACCATAGTGGGCCATTTTGTGTTTTTATCAGCAAGTGAGAATTGCTATGGCTACACATGCTTGCATTTGATGCTGTCAAGTGTTTTGAATTCTGGCCATTGTAATAAGTGTGGTGGTATTTTAGAGTTTAATTTGCAATTCTGAGAGCAGTGATGACCATTCTTTTTGGGTTTTTTGTCTTTTTGAGACAGGGTTTCACTATGTAGTTCATACTGGCCTTCAACTCACTTTGTAGCCCAGGCTGGCCTCGAACTCACAGCAATCATCCTGCCTCAGTCTCCCAAATGCTGGGGGATTACAGGCATGTGCCACCACACCCAGCTTCCCATCTTTTTTGGCAGCCGTGGCCAGTTTTGTGGAAGACAGTTTTCCCCAGCCTGGTGAGGGTGTCTACCTCCGTGTTTGTGAGTGGATGTTTCCAACACAATAAACACACTCCCTAAGTCAGTATCACTGCCTCTTTGCCAATGCAGGTCTCGAGGCTCCAGATTCTTACAAGCTGGATCCCTTGCAGGCACTGTGCACAACAGGCTTTGGCCTGCAGGAGTTTAGGTATCTTACTTTCCTCTTATTGCTGGGACAAAATATCTGACACCCAAAATTAAGGAAGGAGAGGTTTATTTTGCTCACAGTTAGTGAAGGTTTTAATCCATACTTAGGCAGAGTGGCACATGGCAGAGGGCAGCCTTTCATGATGGAGCAAAACAATAAAGAGCAAATGGAGCAGCAGCAGCAGCTGTGGCAGCTAGCAAGCCTCTCTCCTCTCATGTTGTAATGCAGATTACCCACCTTAGGGTGGGGTTGAAATTCACACCCATAATCCCAGCACTGGATCATGATTTAATTAATCCCAGATTAGATCATTAATTAATTAACTCTAGAAGCTGCCTCATGACTGCATAAGGCTTTGGGGGAACAACTAGACGCAAAAAATAACACTATGGAAGTTGTTCATCTGACAGGAGGCAGAGTTCAGGTGGTAACTGGTGTGACGGAAGTGACTGGACATGTGATGCTTTGCTTACCTGCCAACCGCTCACCTGCTGCTGTGCCTAACAGGCCACAGACCCTCCTGATCCCTGGCCTGGCATGGGAACTGCTCTCCAGTGACTGAACATCTTTCCATACGATTGCGGGTCATTTGTACTTCTTCAGTGAGGAATCTGTTATGGTTTTTGTTGGGGTTTTTTTTTTTTTTTGCACTTTTTTTCTCTCTCGAGAGTGACTTGCTATGTTGCCCAGGTTAGCCTCCAACTCTTGGGCTCATGATCCTTTTACCTTCCACATAGCTGGGGCTACTAGAGTATATCACTATGCTTAGATGTACTTTTTTTTTTTTTTCTTGAGACTGGGTCTCACTATGGGCTGACCTTGAACTCATGCAATCCTCCTGTCTCAGCCTCCCAAGTACTGGGACTACAGGCATGTATTACCATATCTGGCAACACATTTTTAAATTGAGTTTTTTTTGTTTTTTTTTTTTTCTTTTATTACACAGGGGATTGGACTTGGGGCCTTTGCCCTAATGTATATCGCCAGCTTTTAAAAATTTTTTGATTCAAGGTCTTGCTAATTCCCAGGGTGGGCTTGAACTTTTGGTGCTACTGTCTCTGCCACCCAAGTGGTAGAATTACACACATGTATTGTTACCAGGTTTGGGGGTACTGGGATCTCCTTCTAGAGGTGATTTCTAGGTTCTTTCTGTCCTGAGCAAAGAAATGGTCAAGACAAGCACAAATGGTTAAGGCTTTATTAAGGATAAGAAAAGAAACAGGCTCTGCAGAATGAGATTAGGCCAAATAATCCTGCAGTGTGAGGCTGGCCCACCATGACAGAGCAAACACACTAGCCTTATTGATAGGCTCTAGCTATGTAGCCAAGCCATGGAGACGCACCTACATGAGCATCCTGACTGCTGGGATTACAGGGGTGTGCCAGCACACCTGATTTCTTTCATAAACAAGAAAAGCAAATATGAACATATGTGAGCATATGTACACATAAATTATCCTACCCAAAGGAGCTACAACTACTGTTTTGTACTCTGCTTTTTTCCACTTAATAATATACCTTTTTTTGTTTGTTTGTTTGCTTGTTTGTTTTTTGGCGGAACTAGGGATTGAACTCAGGCCCTTGCACTTGCCAGGGAAGAGCTTATTCCACTGAGCCATCTCCTGGGCCCCTCCCCTTAATAATATACCTTGAGATCACTTCATTTCAGTAGATCTTATTTCTTTTTTTCTATACCTGTACAGCATTCCATTATATGGATATGCTGTAGGTTATTCATTACTCATCCAATGATGAAGGGTTGCTTTTGATTTTTTGATATTTCAAAAAATGTCACAACTAATATGTTATACTTATACAATTTCATAATTTGTCAGTAAAGCCTAGGGATAGACTCATATTCTCTATTCCTTTCCCCTTTTCTTTTTAAATATTTATTTATTTATTTATTTATTTATTTATTTATTTTGTGTGTAGCCAGCTCAGCCCACCAGGGGGCAGGCGGGCTGGCATGTGGTGCTGGAGGATTGAACCGAGGTCCCTGTGCTTTGCTTTGCTTGGCTTAGCTTGTTCTAAGTAGGTGCTTTAGACCACTGAGCTATCTCACCAGCCCTTCCCTTTTCTTTTGACAGGGTTTTGCTCTGTTGCTCAGGCTTATCTTGAACTCTTGGGCTATAATGAACCTCCTGCTTTAGATTCATGACTAAGTGGGACTAGGGGCACCTGCATTGCAAACAGGTGGGAGAGATTCTTTTAAGTGGAACTGGTGGATCAAAGGGTAAATGAGTATATAATTGTGTTGTACTTTTTCTACTGCTACTTACCTCTCATCTAAATTATCTGAACTTTCATTAGCTCTTATTGGTCATTTCTATCTAGAAGCAGGCTTCTTTTTTATTAAAGATTATACTCTAAAAGGACAATTGTGATTTCAAAATGTTATATTATTCCTGTATCTTCAGTGAATGTTTATTCAAAACATTTAATGGTTGCTAGGTACTTGAGGTCAAAGGCAAGTTTGTTTTGTACCATCAGGAAACAAACTAAAGAATGAGGATGAGACAAGAGAAGCAGGAATAAGAAGACATAACTACAAATATCTAGAAAATATGTTTGGAAGTGATAATTATTGTAAAGTGAACAAATTAGCTAAAGAATATTTTTACAAGGAGTAGTTTCATGGAAAGGTTTAACAAATGGTTGAAAGTAGTCAGATAGAGACAAATCTTGAAGAGACCTTGAGAATGAAGAATTTGAATAAAAGGGAAAGCAGTTCCAAAAAGTCTCCCTGAGTATCTGCAAAGCAGACAAAGCTGTGTCAGGGAGTTAGCACTTTCACACTTACTCTATCTTTCCCTGTACAAATGGCATCCGCAAAGAAAAAAATGAGGCCAGGTGTGCTGGTGCATGCCTGTAATCCCAGCACGTGGGAGGCTGAGACAGGAGAACTGCCATGAGTTTGAGACCAACCTGGGCTACACAGTGTGCTCAAGGTCAGCTTGCACTATATACAGCAAGATTCTGTCTCAAAAAAACAAAACTGAACTACACAAGAATAATCATTAAAAAAAGGACACATAAGACTTAGAAGTACATAATACGATTAATCACAAGCATAATTAATTTTGCCAGAAAGGCATGGACAAGTGTTATTTAGTGCCAACACCCAGATGAAAGCTTTACCTGTGTCTACTGTAAGAAGTATCTGAAGTATGTGTGCCATGGTGATCAGATGGAAAAGATAAAGCTGGTTATAGGCAGAACTAATTGATGAAGGCTGCAGATCGACAGTATCATCCCAATATAAAGCTGGAAATGCCAGCACAGCACCTACCTACGAGAGGAAAAGGGACATCAACATGGGCCACAACAAAAAGACCAATATGAACGAACCTCATAACAAATACAAAGGACCCCAGATGCTGTACTATTTTTGTGTTTTTTAAAAATAACCATTGTATTTTTCTTACTAATTCAATAAACTACCTTACAATATAATGCACCATAGAGGACAAATATCACTTTTGCTGAGTCTGCTTATTTAGGTCTAAGTAGTGGAATGCCAATGTATTCAAGGAACTCAACACTGACACACAGGCCTCAACACAGTCTAACCTAATTAGAATACCTACCAGGCTGGGGATATAGCTCAGCAGCATAGTGCCTGACTGGCAAGGATGAGGTCATGAGTTCAATTCTCAGTAACCCCTCAGCCCCTTCCTCCATACACCCATTAGAACACCTATGGCTACAGTCTGTTATTAGCATATTTTCCTTTTGGAAATTTCCCAGGAGGTTCCAAAAGAGTCAGGATTGACAACTACCAAGTAGAGGCCTAGATAATGAGGGATGGGGTTGTTGGCTCAGCCTATATCCATCCATCAATCCCATGCTCCAAATGCATCACTGCTTTCTTTGTAACAATAAATTTAAAGGGATGAAATCATTACAAGAGGAAAAAGTTCTGCAAGAAACTCAAAGTTATCACTTGTCCACACGTGTCCTGGGGAAGTGTACATACGATAATTCAAAGACACATTAACATTAATTTGTCTGAAAATACTGTCACTTTGGACACATGGGTCATTTCTGCCACTTTCTGAAGTAGGTCTAGCAAATCCTTCTTGAGTGTCTCTTATTTTTGCAGTACCTGAAATCAAACACAAGACACTGTACTTGCCAAGCAGGCGCGTATACCACTGAGCTATACCTCCAGCCACATGAGTATCTTTAGTTGTACTGTCATGGCTATCTTGATAATTTGAATTGATTTAAAATGTTTATCTTTTTTTTTTGATTGTCAGACCATCTTTATTGACATATTTTTTTATGCTCCTTAGCTAGCTGGGCACTCAACAGCGCTGTTGTGGATATCATCTATGATGTCATGAGGGTGCCGACTGTCCACGTTGCAGCCCACAGACTGGGCAGTCCCCAGGATCTTCTTAATGGTTCTGAAAAGTTCTCTGGCTAAAGACCAGAGCTGCATCTGTCGGTGAATGTTGATAATTTCATCAAAAGTGATATTTCCGCTGTGTTTAATGTTTTTTTGCTTCTTTCTGTTTCTTGGCAGCTCCTTGAGGGCTTTGATGATCAGGGCAGAGGCAGAAGACACCACCTCAATCTGAGCCTGTCTGTCCTGAATGGTCAGCTTCATTGTAATCTGCAGACCCTTTCAGTCACCAGTTGCCTTGGCAATGACATCCCCCACTTTTTTTGGAGACAGACTCAAGGGACCAATCTTGGGGGCCAAGGCAGATGTGGCACTAACTTTGCTACTGGTATACCTCAGGTACATGACTTTGATCTCATTGGGGTCAAACTTGGGTGGCATGCTGGAGGTGGCTGGTGTCGGATGAACCCGGATTTGGGACGACCGAAGAAAGTTGCACCTTAGCCTCCTCCTAGCTGAAAGCCAAAAGGAAAATGTTTATCTTTTATGGTCATTTTGACTTGGGGCAAGAGCCATAGTTGCTTTGTGCCAGACCTGGTGAATGAGGTCTAAGTGCCTCATTTGAGTGCCACTACTTAGATGAGGACATACTACAGTGTTTTTTCCAGCCTGCCTTTCCAGTGGGTGGCAACTGGCAGCAGCATTCAGCATACTTCTGGTCACATACTGTAAAGACAAACATGAAAGAAAGAGGACTTCCAGAACTGCTTCAGAAAGTAGCCACAATGATGGCAAAATTATGTGTGAAGTGAGGAAAGGTAATTTTATGGGCACTAACAGCAATGTGTCTTTTACTGTGATAAATATTTTCTACATGTAAATATTTCCTGTACATTTTGATCACCCCTTTTGCACCGGTTCATATAATTAACCAGAACAAATCAATTAGAAAGTAAAAGGCAAATACGCTTTCATTTTAAAGTATTTTGATGGTCTGAATCAAATCCATACCTATTTATAAAGAGAATGGATAAGAGACCCAACTGCAGAACTTATAACCTTGAAAAGTGTGATTTTGAATGAGGAAATCATAAATATGATGGCTTCAAAAAATTCTACCAAACACTTACCAAAACATGAAATAGATCTATAGATAGAAGGCATGGTGTATCTTCTGATCTTAGGTTAGGAAGCACAACTAAAATAAACAAAAAGTTAACACAATTCAGTCAGTAGGATAGCAGTGCAGTTACATAAAATGCAAGGTAGAAGCATGTAAAGGGAAAATTTAACAGGGTTGTAAAACATGGAAATCATTACAGCACACATTCAAGACATAGGAGCCATAACAGAAGATAAACTAACCTGAGAAAAAGCTACTAGAAAGCCTTCAATATAATTCAAGGATTGAAAGATAAGACCTAGGAGTGAAAGATGAATGAACTAGG